GGGGAGGGGGGGCCGATTTAAAAGGGGACAAGGGGGGAGGCGAGCGGCAGAGCGCAGGCAGCAGAGCCGCTCGCCGCTGTCCCCTCCCCGGCGACATCCAGCCCCGGGGAGAAGCGACAAAGCCCGTCACGACCCCCGAGGTACCCGCTGTCTCACCATGAAGCTCCTGACAGCGGCTTTGCTCCTGCTGTTCATCGCCATGTGCTTGGCCAGCGCGGAAGGTAAGCTGGTTTCATTCCACTTATTTCCCCGCGCAAACCTCTTTTCCCAGTAATTTTAAATTTGCCTCTCGATAGCCTCGCGCCCGATCGAGCCGTCCCCTGCGTGTCGGGAAAGAGCAATGCGCTGAAGCCGCGGGTAAGGTAGCGGTGAGGTGCTTTTCAAGGTGGAAATAGAGGTAAAATACATGCAACAAAGTTGTGTCTTCGTTGGAAGGCAAGCAGCCCCAGCGCAGGGTGCGGGAGGTCGCACCGTGTCCCCCGTTATTCGGGAACACAGCTCGAATGTCTCCTTTGAACCCGACGGTGGTTCGCACGGCGAAAACGGAGCAGAGCTGGATTTGATGCGGTAGCACCAATTCTGCCCAGCACACCGGTGCACATTTTCCGCTGTGCACAAAAACGGCGGCTGAAAAAAAAAAATCTGGGCTTTTGTCTGGCTGCGAATGCAGCACAGCATCCGCGCGAGGAGAAGTGACAGAAAGCGCTACAAAGTCCGAGAGAGAGCAAGTAGCCGAGATGTGCGTTCGCTTGCTCAGCTTAAAGCGAGTTCTGGTGCTCTCGTTTCCTTTCGTTAAACACAGTTACATTTAATCACAGCAGGTGCGCTTTAAAAAGCTCCCGTATTTACTAAACCTCAGAACATATATAGTGCTCTAAAATCTATTTCCCAGAGAGTCATTACCCTTCGCTGGGATATAGCACAGAAAATACTCCTTTTCAAGCTCAGCAGCATGACAAAATTCAGCTTTTCCCACTGAGGCTTGAGAGACCAAAGCGAAGTTCGTGCGCACACACGGGCTGGCGGGGAAGGGACGCTTGGTACGCGGGTGGCTTCGAAGACACCTGAGAAAACGCTTTCCTCTTGCAGGTGTGAAGTGCAAATGTTCAAGAAAAGGTCCTAAAATCAGATTCTCTAACGTACGGAAGCTGGAAATCAAACCCAGGTACCCGTTCTGCGTGGAAGAGATGATCATGTAAGTTTTCCCTCGTTTGTTGCTTTCTGTTTCCCCATCAGCTGAATTGCTTTACCTTGCACTGCAAGTTCCTGCTTTGTTCTTTGTTTTTCTCATGCCCTGGCACGCTCACGGCTGGGAACAGTCATTTACTGTATCAGATGAAATAAAACCTGCAATTCTGACCAAAAACCCAGCTATCGTTTTTGGACACTTTTTTTTTTTTGCTCAGAGAAATATTTACAGAACAGGTAGTGATAAAGGGATAATCATTAGTTAAGGAAAGACAAGGAAAAATCCTACTCCAGGCTGCCTGATGTAAAATCCAGAACTATTTACTCAAGCTATCTGGGGCACGCAGAGTAAGAACGCGAGCAGAGCTCGGTCCACAGTGGTTTCTGCGAGGAAGAGCTCTCCCAGCCAGAGGCAGGTTTTCTCCTGCGTTGTACCACAGCCATCCCCTTGCACTCGATGGGATTACCTAGCACGGAAAAAAGTGCTTTCCTCCCCATCTCACTGCAAGCCGTGACCAACGCTGCTGTGAGATGTCACAGCGATGCAGTGACTTGTCCGAGGCAGGTACAGGGGTTTTTGACATCCCTGATGACAGGCTTAAAAGGAGGTGTTTTTTAGGTTTTAAATATGGGTGGTTTGTGCGGGGTTTTTTTCCTGTCCTGTTCCGGATATTTTAAGATTCCCCCAGCAAAACACCTTCCAGCCAGCACATGGGGCTGGGTAAGAACCAGACGGGGAGGTTAGCCAAGAAGACTGCCCCGAGCTCCTCTGCCACCGAAGAGGGGAGAAGGCGGCTCCCGAGAGCACCCACACCCCCAGAACGCCAAGGAGCGATTTACTCCAGTGCTTGTGCTCCCTCACTGAACATCTGCCATGCGCTGAATCCTAGAAAGGTGCTTTAGCAGCAGGAACTGAGCCTTGTCCTGCCAAGCCGCCTACCACCTCCGGTACACTGTACCACCCACGGGGCCAAATCCTGCCCATCCGACTGGCACAAACAAGGAGATACCATGGGAGCCCGATCCTGCCTGCGCAGAAACAGCTCAGCAGACTCGGCTGAGGGCATGTGGAGGAGGAACGGAGAGCCAAGCTTCCTTAAGCTTCCTCCAGATTTACACCAGCATCACTGCGAGCAACGCTCAGCTCAGGGAACATCAGACCCACCTCTGCGAAGCCCAAATCAGCTGACGGCGACCTGAACAGAAAAACGCTCACAGAGCATCACTGCCTGAATCAGTTCCTTGCAGCTTTACTTTGTTTGCTTTGACCTTTCCACAGCAAGAGGATGATGCAGAGGAGCGCTAACTCTTCACATCCCACTCCAGGCATTTGCCCGAAAGCAGCCAGTGGCCAGGAGGTATAAAATAAATCTCATTAATGCAACTTTTCACCTCCAATCAGAAAGTCGGGAAAGCTGGAGCGCTTTCCCAGCTGGATGGCTACGCAGGCGCCGGGGGAGGCTGTTCAAGCCCAGAGGGCTGCCCTGGGCTTGCAGCGTCTGCGGGGACAGAGCTGTCCCATCGCTGCTGCTGCTGCCTGTGGGGCAGGCAGGGCTCAGCCCCTGCCCTCGCTGCCTCTCCGGCTACTCTAGTGCACTCTGAAGTCAGTATTGAAAACGAGCTGAAATTAATATTCCGATTGATCCGGCAGTCTCCAGACGAGGCACGGAAGAGCTGAATTCCTGCAACCAAGTTTTTGCTGCTGCGGCGATCATCTAAAATGAGTTGTCGAAACTGGGTCCCCTCCTGACCTCATTGAAAGCTCTCATCTTTTCATATGGGAGAAACATGATATAAATTATGTTTGGCAGGGAAGAAGTAGGTACATGAGTGCAGTTTAGGAAGGAATTTGTCTTTGGCCATAACCCCCCAGCAGAGCTGTGGCACAGGGTAAGCAGCAGCTAAGCCAAGTCCTCAGTCTAGTCAAAACCTATCAAGATTCCCGGTACATCTAGCAGTAATGGTGTGTGTATCTGTCACCCGGAATGAGCAAAAGCAGCAGAAAACAGGAGGGAGGTTTAACTCTTTCCATTTGAAAGGATCCAAGCTCCCTCCACGTATTGCCTCATCCCAGAGAGGGGGAACTTGTCAGGGTGAGAGCAGCTGAGCTGGAGATGGGAAAAGGGCACCACCAAGAGCCTTGCTCAAGGGGCAGCCGAGGTGGATGGCAGTCCCTGCACCGGCTGGGGTGGAGGGACCGGAGCCAGAACCCCACTGGCCCTGGGGACAGGTGGTTTATAGGTAGAGATGCAGCCCCACCATCCCTGCAGATCTGGTGCGTGGGGGCACAAGGCACTGGGGGGTCACGAACTGACCCAGGGGCACTCGTCCCAGCCCTGGATGCATGGATGTGCTGGGAAGGTTTTGGCACAGGGACCCTCAGACACCCTGGGTGAGGGCTCCAGCCACCAAGCCCTGGGCAGCTAAGGGACAGCTCATCACACACCCCTGGAGTGAGCTCACATCCCAAATCCCACTGGAGGGATCTCACTAGAGGTGGAAGTTCTGATGCTTCAGTCGCTTCTCCATCCCTCTCAACCTCTTCTTGCAGCCCATCCAGACAACACCTCGCTCAGTATCGGCTCCCACAGCGCCGCCTCTTAGGCGCATGCCCTTCCATCTTCTGGACCAACATCCCCAAGAGCAGGGCCAGGTCAGCTCAGGGTGCCTAAAAATGCTACCACCCAACCCTCTGCCCGCAGCACCAGGGACTGCACGGGAACTGCATGAGACCATGGGGCTGCCTTGGGAACGTCTCCTCTGCTGACCAGCCTCCGGCATCAAAGCAGAAAACCTGAGTGTGGTGTCAAAGCAACACATCTCAGCCTGAGAAAAGCCCTGGTTGTTCACCTGAGAAGCAAGCCATGCATCTCCTCCTTAAACTGCAGGCTCTAGTAAATCCAGAATTGTCCTTCACTCCTGGTGCAAATTCAGCGCTTGCTGCTTTTCAGAGGTGCTCCTGCTCCTCCTGCAATTCAGCTTGTACATCACTTTCTGGAAACACCCTCTATGATCTGTCAGAAAAGAAATCCAAGCCAACGTCGAGCAACAGCCAGAGCAGATGGCATAGCTGAGAAGGTGGCTGCTGGATGGGGAAACCTTGTGCTGACCTCAAGTCTCTTAAGCCTTGCATGCCTTGTGCCTCCAGTGAAGGTTTGGTTTCTCTCCTGTTCAAAGCTACAGGAAATTTCCCCTTCTCAGGTACAGAGGGATTGGCCAAGAGCACCCCTGGAGCAGAGACAGTCAACAGATTTTAGCAGTGACCCTTCCCTTTCCAACATCTGCAGCCACAGAGGCTCTTGGAGGCCCTCCACTGCTTTCCCACACGTTGGGGAAAGGGCCATGTCCTCCCAGATAACAACCCAGAAGTTACACCTTTGCCTTTCTGTGACTTTAGCTCACACCTGATGGAGGTGGAGCAGAGAAGGGGAGCAGGGAAAAAGGTCAATGGAATGGAAAGAAATATTTGAACATCTGATGTAAGGTTGAAATGGGAAACATGGCAAGACCCTCAGCTGAGCTCACGCAGGCAACACGCAGCGCGCTGCTTCCAGCCAGGCATGTCCCCTCTGCGCTAGGCAAATCAGCTGGGAAAGCTTGCAAGGCACTTCTTGTTGTGTTAGGAGATAAACAGCTCCTTTCTGGACCAAACCATAAAAGCAGCCCATCAGCATGCACAGATATTTCTGGTTTTCTGGCATTATTTTACTCATGTCTCTACCAGTGTTTAAATAATTCCATTACAGGATTTTAGTTAAACTGAAAATCATGTTTGCCTGCTATGGATGGTATTTCCAGAAAATTCATAATTTCAGTTAAAAATATGGTGGGTTTTTAATTACAAAATTAAAAACAAACAGAAAACTGCTTGATTTTGAGCCCTGAGAATTGATAGCAGTCTTGAGGTTTCTGAAAAGCCATCCTCTGGGGAAGCAGTTCCAGGTTTCTCGTGTCACCTGGGTTGTGGCAGACAACCAGCAATGGCTTCACTCAGCTTTCCAGGAGGAAGCCTGAAACAATGGGAAGACCTTTGCCATGTTTTGCCTCCCAGCACCTCTTGTGCTGACAATGAGGGGACACCAAGCTGCTGCTCCTGGCAAAGAGAGCGGGATCAGCCTGGGATCAGAGGAGGGTGAAGCCCCCAGGACTGCCTGCCTGGGGCTCAGAGCTAATTCGCTGGGCACACAGGCACCCTGCCACGTGCAAATATTTAAGATGTCACTGACTTTAAAAAAAAGCAGAGGGGTGTGGTGGAAATCAATGAACCAGGTTTGATCTTTTCTTTTGGATGCAGCATTGCTGAGTGTAAGGGAACCACCTCCTCATGCAAAGACCTTGTGGTTGCCTGAATGAACCCTAACTAAATTGGTTATTAAGCTCGAAAAAAAAAATATAGCTAACAGACAGAGTAAACCCACTGATTAAAAGCAGTGGGCAAATCTTCATCTGGTACAACCAAGTGTAGTGGTGGACAATACTGCACTGCACTGATTGATAACAGCTGAAGATCCGCTCCAATATTATTACAATAAACTCAAATATCTGCCATAGAATAGAAACCATGAAAACCCTTCCACTGCTCGCCTGGGTGAGAGCCCCCTGACCGATATTGGTGTTTGCCTGGCGTGGGAGCAGAGGACAGGCATTTCCCCCGACTCCCCTAACCTGTGCTCGCTTGCCTTGCAGCGTGACTCTGTGGACGCGGGTGAGAGGGGAGCAGCAGCACTGCTTAAACCCCAAACGCCAAAACACAGTGAGGCTGCTGAAGTGGTACAGAGTATGGAAAGAGAAAGGCCGGTAAGCATCAATTTGCTCAGTGGGTGAGGGGGAAAATCTCGGTGGCAAGTTGGGCAATCGGCAGCGTTCAAGACAGAGCGCGCCCAGGAAAATGCACAAACTGCAAATGCTCTATCCAGCACAGAGGATGTATTTCATTACCAAAATTACAGTTATAAATGGATGTTCTTGATGTTATTTCTTTCCTGCCACATGCAATCCTCACTTCTATTTTAGGATTAGGCTGTTCTGACTATAAATAGTAATTATTTTCTGTTAAACTATTCATCAGCTGATGTTCTCAGTTATTTAAATACACTCACCTCCCTTCTACGGCTAAAAGCCAAGATGAAAAACTAAATTACTTCCACACAATCATACGGAAAGCAGTCAGCAGAGCTGGGAAGAGAGTGCCCTGTCACAGATTTTAATCACACCGCCTCAAAAATCTTCAGTTGCTGATGACGCAGATCTCTGCCAATTTTAACCACTGCATCAGTCCCAGGAGGACAGTAACTTGCTGGTAAGATTCTCTGCCACCTTCTCCCTTGCAAATAGGATTTCATTTTTGCAAGTCATCAGTCATAGATAGAAGAGAGAGGGAAATATGAATTCCTGGTGGTTGATGGCCAGTGGTGATGTCTCCTCTGTCACTAAAGGGAGATGCCCATCTCCTACCACCTCTCCAGCAACGGCCAGGAAAGAGCCTCCGCATGTGTTACAGTCCCACCAAACCCTGATCCTCCTCAACTAACGGGCAATTTGCTCCCCAAAACTGAGCTCATGAAAGGCCAGCAAGCAGCAAGCCCCGTTTCTCAGCAGGTCCAAGGGTGCCGGCGAGCTCCAGCGCAGCCGCATGGTGCCCGGCAGCACGGGCAATGCCACAGCACAGCAAGCAATGGGGGGTGCGGAGCCCCCCGGCCGGTGCCCTGACTCCCTGCCAGCTCTGTGCGGCTGCTCCATGAACAACGCACATGGGGAAGCCCTGGGTATTGCACAACCACATATTTATATTCTTCCCCATTTTTTTTTTTTTAATCAGACTGTCATTAAGGTGACGAAGGATGCTGAGCCCCAGGCTTGTGCGTTCAGGAAACACGCGAGGTTCCCCGGAGCGGGCGGAGGGCAGGGATGCCCCATGCAAGGCTGTGAGGGCCAGCGTACAGCACTGCAGATGAGCTCCTGCCTGCAGACAGCGGTGCTGCTTGCAGTCTGCTTCACAGCCCAAAACAAGGGGCAGCTCGAGGCTTCCCCGCAGTCCAGCCAGGGGATGGGCACTGTCCCTGCTGCCAGGGAGAGGTTGGCAAGCCCAGCGTCCCCACGGCTTTGGCTGCCGGCCTGGGGCACGCAGAAGGGATGCAGCCCAACCCTTGGTGTTTTACCTTGCTTTGCCTTGCCCAGTGCTGGCATCGTCCCGCTGCACCGTGCCACCCCTGCATCGCAGCCAGCAGGTCCCCGATGCTGCTAAGCGGGCAAGCAGGGCAGTCAAGCCAAACCACAGCTGAAGCAGCATCAGGTGAATATTTCCGATATTAAAGACCCTGATTTAAACCAAGTTCTCGTAATAAATGATTTGTCAGTGCCTTCAGTGCCGGCTCTACTTAACCTACTGAATTGCTCCCCACTTAAAGCTAGGGAACTGAAATGTAAATGGAATTTACATTTAAATATAGTCCAAACATGAATCTCTTCCCCAAAACAGCATTGGTCCTAGCTTCCCCCATGCCATGGAAGACCGCTTTCAATCACGCTCCCCAAAGAGCCAGGGATTTTTCAGCAGACAATACTGTCAGGTCATCTTCTCGGGATGTAAACTAGAAAAATAATACTACCTATAACATTATTGCAAACACAACAGATACTGTGAATTTGTTATCTACATGCAGATCATGATATACTTCAACATTTGTATGCAAGATAGGGATTTTCCAGTGGTTAAAGTGTATTAGCAGATGTGGATTTCTTCATCTTATGTGTCCTGATAATCACGGCAGAGCTCGTTACTCCCCATGTACACGCAAGATGCAGTGACCCTCCTCCCAGATGCTTTATGGACAGCAATCCAGTAACTGCTGAAGCCAACAACTTACATTCCAATTTCCTTAAGCAAAGGCTAAAAATCTGGCTTCTGGTTTTTTTTGTTGCTTGTGATGTTTTTTTATTATTTGTTATTATTTGGAAGAAATCATTTCATTCATAGCTTAAACATCTTACTCTTGGCTTCCCTTCTGTTCAGGGTTTATGAAGAATAAGGGGAAGTGGCGTGAAGAATGGAACGGACTGCCTTGGCTGGTGTAGGACTGGGCTCTGCAGAAGATTGTTTCTCTCACAGACATAAGACACAAATTCTATATTATTATAAAGCACTTTTTACCAAGGGTCAGTTTTTACATTTTATAGCCACGTGCAAAAGGCTTCCAGATTTCACAAGCATCTGTTGCACTTCAGATTTCATACTCATCAGCTCTGTACTGAGATTGGGAAAACTCATGCTTGTCATTTTAAAGAAGTTGTTTTGGGGGTTTGGGGTTTTTGTTTTTTATTGTTATTCATTCATACTTCACTATGATTGCAATTGAGCTTTATAAGCTCATTAGACAAACAGTAACATTTGTAAAGGTGATACACAGCTGTCCCCCTCGCCCTTTCGCAGCGGGAAGGCTTCGGTGCTGTGGTGGTCTGTCATGTTTGCAGCCTCCACCTTAGTAAGGCAAAGCGGGGACCAAAGACGAGTTTGCTGGGGAAGCTGCCACGGAAATGTCGTGGCTGTAACTGCGGAGGTGAGGTCCCTCAGCACGTCACACGAGTACGAACATCGCTTGTGTACCTCTTCTGTAACGGACCTGAGGTCTCGCTGCAAGGCGAAGCGTACCCTATCTCCCATTTAACGTTCCATGCATTAGAAAACATTTCTAGGTCATTTTTAGTACTAAGAAAATGTTGAATTTTTTTTTTTTTTGCACCTGAAGTTCTTACAGAAAGTTTGTGGCTTCAGTACTGAGACATTTTAAGCTTCCAGACTATTGTGTATGACTTCCTAGATTTGTAGCAACAAAAAAAAGCCTTTGAAAGGTACCTTTTTATGAAAAATATGATAGGGCAAACATATAAATACCTATCTATGTTTTAGTCACAATACAACGTATTCATTATTTTGAATGTAATACTTCAATGTTAAGCAGTGCATTCCTCTTTTTAAAAATAACAAAACTACCTTTTCATCTGTAAATATACTATAGGAAGTCTCCCTACATTATCTTCCTGTATAATGTACTGTACTGCTAAATTATCATATGCTATTTAAATGTTTGAAATATTTAGAAGGTTGCATGCAGATTTCATATTTCTTTCTAAGACAAATGAAAAAAGTAATAAAAAAATATATTTAAAAAAGCTGACAATTGCTCTTATTTTTCCTTAAGGCATCAGGGAACTCCAGCTACTTCTAACAACTTTTTTTGGTTTGGGGAAAAACACTGAATCAGAGAAGCTGATCTAGAGACATGGCAACTTGATGCCATTGGAATTAGAAAATGTTATTTGAATCCAGTTTTCTTCCCTTTCTCAGGATTTGGACTTCGCCCAGCCACTGAGGAATCTTGGTACATAAAGAAGGGCTAAGCCATGTGCCTATAGCCACCAGCCTAGCGTTACATTCAATAAGTGTAAATCAACCACTCCGGATCCATATAAACCCAAGTAAAAGCAGTGATTCAGATAAGAGAGCAGTTAGATTAAGGAAGGTTGTACAACGAAAGTCAGGCAACAAAAACCTGTGAGCTACCCCCTCCTCTTTCTGTCCTTGCCCAAAGGGAGGGCCCTTGCACCCACCAAGCCTCCTGCACAGCTCCCCAGCTAAAAGAAGAGCGACACACAGGAAGGGTCAAGCCAAGCAGAGTTTAAATGCGTTAAAACCTCCCGGTGCTCCCCAGCCATCCCCGCTTTCCCTCCCAGCTGCGTAAAGGCAGCTTCGTACGGGGCTGCTGCCGAGACCGGCACGACTCCTGCGATGGTGAGCTTATACTGTATAACCAACGCAACACCTGGCCTCAGCTCAAGGGTTTCCTCCAGTTTGGAGAGCAATAAAAGAAAAGAAAAATCCACATATGCATGCACACACACACTATATACTTAGTTACTGTGATAATACCCTGGCAGAGCTGAAGGAGAAAAAGCTGTTAGATTTCAAAGCATCTTTCTATTCTGCGCAAGGATGGAGCTAGGAGCTTCAGAAGCCTGTTAGTAGAAAGCTTGAGAAAGATCCCAGAGTATTTCAGAAATTAAATCTCTGGGGATGTCAACCACAAGGCGTTGCTTCAGGCTGAGCATTTGAACCCGATCTCCGGGCAAACCCAGACCTGCAGGCTAGCCAAGCTGCCCCTTCTTTCTGGAGTCACATTTTAACAAAACCAGTAGTTTTTCCTTGAGGAGATTTGATTTCAACATGCTGACAGACTTTAAGAAAAGGTTTATGCTTATTTAGTGACTACTGGTCATTGCATTTCCTGGAAAATTCCAGATATGGTTGCACAAGAGGTGGTTTAGGCTCCGTTGGGAATGCTGGGCACAACTCCAGTTGCCCGCATGCAGCACCCAGTGACTCACACCTCGCAGGGTAGAGCCTGTACAAATAACTCTTAGCTCTGGGTCCCTCTGCCAGACCAAAACCACCAGCAAAAACTGAGCAGAGGAAGCCAACTGCAATTTTTTTTCCCCACTTGCTAGAAAAGGAGGCAAAAGAAAAAGAACTGCTTGGTTCAATATACATATTTCCTTTAACCCAAAATCTGTGCTTCGAACAAAACAACTCTTGGAAACGGCAACTGAAACCGCAAAGAGAAAAAATTGTGACTCTGAACTGGTTTTCCCAAGCCTGTTAAACTGCATCTCCAGGCAGGTCTGTGAAGTTCCCAGAAACAGGAGGAGCATCCCTTGCCATCCCTGATGCTGCAGCTGCAAAGGGGAATAACTGTGTCAGAAGGCAACTGCCACACACAAGACATCAACCACTTTCCCCCACACTGAAACATCTTTGCCAAAACATTTAAATATATATATAGGTACCTCCTCCACCTAGATTTAGCAGCAACCTTAAGGTTTGCTTCTGTTTTTTAGGAGGTTGAAAACCCGCAGATCATTCAGTCCAACCTCCCCGATACACAGACCACGCACCAGTGCTTTGAGATTGAAAAATCAAGCCGCTGAAGTATGGTCTGAGCACGCACCAGCCAGCCCCGACTGCTCACCAGTTACCAATTCACCTTCCTAAAAGCTTGCACATCTGCAGGGTGAGCCAGAGCCCTGCTCCATCCCGGGGTGTGGGAGCAGCATGAGCAGCCCCGCAGCAGGCAGACCAGAACCCACCCCCCCAGTTCCTTCACTCAAGCACCAAGCCCTGCACAGGAGACCTCCACACCCCCCCTCCCCTGGGCACCGGGCATCCACAGGCTGCACCTGTTCAGAAACAGCACTATCAGGTTTTATTTTAATAAAAGCACGAGGGTGAACCGAGCAGCTGCAGTGAAAGGACACAATAGCGGGGAGAGCTGCCCTGCCTTCTCAGCGAGAGTGCTACGTGGGATTAGTAACGTTATACAGACCCTTTCACCACTTGCCTTTCACTTGTTCATATATGGTCTAGGTCAGCAGTGGCCAAAAAGTTTATTAAGCAGCAATAGCTGCTTGGTGGTCTGTGAGAGACCGGGTCCAGCTGCCTGCAGTGCCCCAGCTCCCCCCGGGCTCCCTAAATCAAGGCATAAGGCCACGCCAGATTGCTACATGCATGGGGACCTCTCCTGACCACGTCCATGCAGCAGGAGAGCTGGACCCACGCTAACAAGGTTTCATTAGGGCTTGGGGGTTTTTAGTGGTCACCCAAGCCCTGGGTGGGAAGCTGAAGACAGCATTGCAGCAACACCCACACACTCTCAGCTAATTAAACATCAGAGTTTGGGCTCTCCTGGACCCACATTTGTAGAGAATGGAGACAAATGTGAATAAAAAGCCACTGTCCCCCAGGACTCACCATCCCACTGAGATCCACCACCAGGCAGCTGCGCCTGCCCAAGGGCAAAGGGCCTCCTGTGTAACCTCACATTGTTTAACGGGTTTCTGTAAGCCCAGACAGAGCTGGCACTCTCCAAAACACATCCCCTTCAGTCTGATGAAACACCAGCCACATTTTGGGTATTTTCATCCAAAGCCAGCTTCCAAATATGAGGCATCTACATCCAGATGTGCACAGCATCTGAAGACCTCACTTACTGCAAGTTGCTCAGCACCTTTGGAAAAAGGCAAGCTGTTTTCGAGCTGTTGGCTGAGTTTGGGCTTCGGACCCAGAAGGATGAGCAGCCCAGCCTGCAAGCCCTGGCCATGCTGACTTCATGCCAGTGCAGCTCTCAGTTTTGGTACTCTGTAGATCTTCTGTGCATAGCACTCGTGCTGGGATTTGTTGTTCAGTTTGTTCCCTTCAATGGGTTGGGGTGTGTGGTCACAAATGGAAATACAGGTATTAGAGGATCGCTGTTTGCAGCTCTGACTCCGCATTTGCCCTGTCAGAAACCCTCCGTATCTGTTATTTTGTGATTTCCCTCTGATCTAAAACTGCAAAGACCTGGAAGGTGCTCTGTTTGCCTTGAAAGGCTACACCCCGTGAGCCCCCAGATATTCTTGTAACCAGCACATGTTTCTGGCAAAGTACCCCAAAGCATATTTTCTCCAATTCCTTTACCTGACACAACCCACCCCAGAACAGGAACTGTGATTGCCACTGCCTGAGGAACAGCGGCTGCAGGTGGATTTGCAAGCACAGAGCTCCAGGTGCTTACAGTGATTTTTGGTGCTTGCAGGTATGGATACACACCTTGCAGAAATCTTCATTGTTTGCTTAATTTTGGGCACTCAGGCAACCTGGAAAATCCAACAATGCTGTTTGTTAGTTGTGCTTCCTGACACCGCATACCTCTGAAAAGACTGGCCCTCCATCTTCTATGACTGGCCCTGCAAAACCGTTAGGGCTACCATTTCATAGAGAGAAAGCTAAAAACCTGCACCAAACTGGGACACCATATCTCATGCAAAACTAAGATAGACTCATCTTTTTTACTCCCCGAGGTTGCCTTACTGGGCTATCGCCTCTACTAATCAGCAGCCCAGCCCAGGCAGCAATGCAGAAGCAGTCCCGGTTCATGCTAGCGGTATCAAAGCATTTCATACCCAGCACAAATCCAGAAGTCGGGGTTTGAGCATCCAACACATCCTTGTTTCTAATAGCCAGCACTACACGAGATGAAACCGTGTGAGCTCAGAGGGATGTCTGGGAGACCCAGCAACCTGGGGTTCAGCCCTGCTTCTTGCGCTTTGGTGTCCGGTGGCTCTTGGGCCACAGCCAGCAGATCCCAGCCCAGACAGATGCTCCTGAGGAGCGGTGGGAGAAAGCAGGGCTGAAAGGACATCTAGCGGCAACCAAAAACCTTCTCAGACAGCCTGGGGACACCTCTACAGCCCTGCAGCCAGCCGTGTTGTAAACCAGCTTGGAGCCTGCTCATTGCACTGCTGACACTGGAAATGCCCTTCACCAGCTCTGGAAGCAAA